GGAGATCAGACAGTGGGATGAGATGAAGGAAAAGCGGGGCACCAGTCGAGCAGCCAATGCAGCCACGTCCACCAATGAAGACAAGGTTGTGTATCTTGGAGAGAGAAAATCTACTACAACGGGTACGGCTTGGGTCTTGACTCAGAATCTTGACTACATTGCTGACTTGGCACCAGGTTCCCAGTTCCCAATTTTGATCCTGAATTCGAAGATTCCATCTTTTCTTTTCTGTCAGGGACATTACGTCCTTCATAGCAAATCCTCATAAGTTTGGTATCTTTTCATTTGAATTGACTGAGGCGGAGAGAAATCCTTAGCCAGAATTAACACCCAGGTTTGTTCACTTGTGGGCTCAGTAATTTCATCAATCCAAGAGTGGATCGGGGGGGAACCCAAAGGGGCAATGCCTGTCCTGCTAAAAGAGGAACTGAATAATCAAAGGAATGCTTTCATTTTCCCTAGATTCAGTGGTTGAGTTGCTTTTCACCGTTGTCGTCATTTGAGGGTGCTGTAGCTGGTCAACATTTTTAAGAATTATAGCCTGACCAGGCAGTAGTCTCTGGAATTCATGTGCGTGAGATGTCTTGGCACCCATCCAATTCACGCGGCATAAAGTTCATATACCAGCCTATATTAGTGACCCACACATGACCACATTTCAGCCAACCAGAATTAAGAAACAGCAAGAAGTGTGTTGTAACAGGTTAAAATTTCATTTGAAGAACTGGGCATTGATTTCATCATCAAAAATATTCAGACCGATCTCCCTGATTTCTCTTTGATCTCCAGGGGTCAAGAAGACTATGACCCAGCCCCGTCCTGCATCTCCTGCCTCTGTCTACCCCGCTGAGCGTCCTCTCTCAGCTGCTGTACCAGATAGTGTGTCCGCGTCCACACATTGCCCTGGCTCGTATGTCGCATCATCATCATCATCTCTAAGCTCTCCATCATCAGTGTCGCTGTCGCTAGAGAGTATCAGAACGGAGCAAGATGCAGAGGCTGCTCTAGATCAGGTGAGAGAAACCCCTCCCCCACCACTCTTCTAAAACTGAACTCCCTGTGATCCGTCAGAAGTCATTGGAACTTCAGAACCGATTTGTGCCGAAGGATGTATAAACATAATCTCAGAGGTGAAAAGTCAAGGACACCTTGACTGTCCTTTGACTGACGTTGAAACAGTGAGAAGTTTGTGGAGGCTGACCGTATTTTAAACCTAAACTTGGCTGCGCTGCATGGCTTGTTGTAGCAAATAAGGCGAGAGGTTGGTCCTGATGAGGTTGTGAAATCTTGAAACCATTAAAGGTTTTGTCACTCAGGTCTGCTCGGACGAGTTAGAGAGATATCGCACTCTCCTGGCGCAAGAGATGTCTCCGATGAGAGATGTGAGGCTAGAGAGCCCAGTAGCTTACTATCTGAAGAACAGCGCCCCCAGGGTCATTGTACGACGTGCTGTCTTGGAGCAGTTTGCATCTGCCAAGGGAATAAACATTGATGTTCGGTAAGTTGCACAGAGTGGTTTCACATGACAACCAAGAGTTTAATAGAAGAGGTAAACATCTCCAACCAAGAGTTTAATAGAAGAGATAAACATCTCCAACCAAGAGTTTGGTACAGTTTTGTTTTGGAGGGCAAGCTTTGTAAAGCTTTAACCACTGTTATATTAAGCAGTGTTTCAGTGAGTCTGTAACAAGTCCTTTCACAAGACCAGTTGTATGGGGAACAGTGATAAAGGAATGCTCATGTCTTGGCTGAACGTTGGATGACTTGTGATGGACGTAAGGGGACATGCAGGGACTTGTGATGGACGTAAGGGGACATGCAGTGACTTGTGATGGACGTAACGGGACATGTGGGGACTTGTGATGGGCTCAACTACAACACTGGGAATTAACTTTACCGTTTCAGATCCCAGGCATTAAGAAAGATAGCTCAGCGTCAGCTGGATAGTCAGACGAGATCCAGGTCAGAGGAAGATAATTACAGGTTATGGTTGGAGGATTATAGAGTGTTCTGCATGGCAAATACTTACTTCATTCAGGGAATTCAACTGTACTTCCAACAGGAGCAGTAAGTATGAACTCCGACATCTTGACTGATGTTTGCAGTTGGCGTCTTTGTCTTGCCTTTCCTGCATTATGTACAAACATTACCATTTCCTTGACAAATCCTCTGACCTTGGTATAAACATTGACTGGTCATTGTAAACATTTAGCTATTGTACGGAGCAACTGTTCAGTTACATTCGCTCTGTACAAAATACAACAATGCTGTCTTACCATTGAAGGAGCCATCAGGAATGTCCAATGAGACACTATTGGATTTATATCTCCACCCTTATTTCCAGTGGTGTACATGTACATGCAATGTTTTGATTTTTCCTTTGTATTGTCCATCAAATAATTTGCACTGCAGCCAGTGACCCAGACGTTCTTTGAAGTCCAACTTTAATACCACACGGACCTCAAGAAAGCTATTTCCATTGGATTAAAGTGCTTGTTAATCTCTTTGATTTGCAGAGATGGTTACCAGGAAGCATTACCACACTTTGTCCATGCGTGCAACATGAACGACAAGTTTATAGGTGAGAAGCCACAGAAGGCAATGGACTTTGGCATGCTAGCACACTTCAGGAGGCAGTGTTTACTGGTGAGTTGGTTTGTCCTGGGATGTTCAAGATTCCTACTTTTTTGGCGATGGGGGTGTGTTTTTTCCAGGAAAGTTTACCTTTTTTCCAACCGAGGTAAACATCCGTTAGATTTGGTATTTTGGTCACTTCCAACGTTTTGAGGATGTCCTGCTTTACCCTTCTGGTTGTCTGAGGTCAGGGTAGTCATGAATGATTTGGCTGATGGTTGTTAGTCTGCCATTCAGACACTGGTTGGAGCTGGTACGTGTAGTTCCATGCTGTAGAAGATGGAGGATTCAGGGTCCCAAACAGTTCTGAGTTCAACCCAGGCCTCTAAAGGAAGATCCTTGTTTGCGGATGTGAAGAATGGAGTTTAAATGAAGTTGTGAAGTTTTGTTGAGGCTTGTGACCAGACTACCTCCCACCACTTCAAGTTGCTTGATGCAAGCTCAAGCTAACCTATTGCAAATATCTAAATGCACTTGCATTTTGAATGTTTTATGATTACTGTTACCGTCAAGCCCGTTACCTTTTAGATACATTTTTTGCTTTGCTTTTCAGGACTTCCTATATTGCTGACCTTTAGTATTCTTTATTTTTACCTGACAGCAATTGAATGCCCAGTGCACCAATCAGTTTGATTCCAGCGATGACTGTGAAGCCCTACAGGGTCTAGAGATCTTGAACAATCTGGTGGTGCCGTGTACAGGGATTCTAGCTAGCTCTTCGGCTGAAGAAGACACGGCAGCCGCTGAAGAGATACGTGGAGGCTGGTGCAGCTACCTCAATAGAGACGTCAGCAGTGAGTTGAAGATACCCTGTTTGCAACCTTTACAGTGGTTGTTGAAACGTTAGATAATCTTGGAGTGAATGATTTTTAGTATGGTTGTAAGACTGGTGTGTATAGCAGTCCATAACATTAACATCGCTAGTCCAATAGGGCTTATGAAACAGCCACAATTTACCATGTGTACCAAATATGAATCAAATAAAAAAGGACGGTGGTTAAGGTCCTGGGTTAATTTGACAGAGATTGGGCCCTAACCACAGCAAGATATTGTTCCTGCTATGACATTTTAATAAAGATGATACAGCAGGTAACGGGTGTGCATCTGATCCTATGGGTTACTGTGATCTGAGAAAGTTGTTGACTTAATCAGGAGTCGGTTTTCAGATCACAAGATTCCAGATTGGGATTGGGGTCGTTGTCAACAATAGCGCTTGCTGAAACTGGAGACTCTCTGCCCACCAACCTGTAGAGGGCGCTTTGTAGACCAGCCCACCACATTTTGCTTGTCTCCTACCATTTTCAAAACATATCCACCAAGCTTTATAATGTAGCTACCAAGTGTAATAGTTTGGTAGCTACTCAAACTTATGGAATGTCCTAATGAAAACAGCTGTTTATAAATTGTAAAACTTCTTTCAATTTCTATGGGAAAAAACTACCTTTTAGATGCCCGGAAGACCTGAATTTTACCCTGGGGGGTTCAAGTGGGGGCTAAACCCCCTGTTAAGGCTTTGTGCCGCCCTCTTCCCATTTCATTTCTTGAATTCCTAACCCCCCCCACGGTTTCCCATTTGGAGCTTGGAGAACACTGAGACATCTATAAACAACTCACAAATGATCATCTGCCTCTTGTTCGCACTCAGGCAACCTGCATGAGAAATTCCAAGACTTTCTATCCAAGCTTCTAGACATGTCATCTGAGCCCACCAGCATCAAGGCCCCGCCCCTGTGCCACACCCAGAAGAAGGAGAATTTGAGTCAGATGTTTACCGTTGCCATGGGAATGATTCACAACAGTGACCAACCAACAGGCTCATGATGATGTGATGGGGGCTCTGAACAGACCCACAGTATAGCAAATAAGCCATGACCGTGGACTACAGTGGCTCCTAGGTGACACATCCTGAGGCAACGAGAATGACCTGTGATGGTGATCAGCAAGCCCATAATGATCTGATTGTTAAAAGCTCAAGGTTTGCCACCAACACAGTGAATGGCAAATAATCCATGGATTTGGCCATGAACTTCCAAAGCAGTAAGCTCACAAGCCCCATGGGAATGGTCTCTATCAGTGACCAGCTGACAGACCGGTCATTAACCTGTTGTCATGGGTTAAAGTTCAGGTGCAAGACCATAGTCTTGGGAAATAACCACACACCAGACCATAAACTATTGTGGTTCCCAGCCTACAACTTCCATATTTCATGAGAGTGATCTGTAGTTTTATTCAGCTAAACAAGCATCACATGGTCTACTCACCACGGTCTGAAGCTGTCACAAACACCTGCGGTGTGGCCATACAGCCCACAGACCTCACCATATTCTTAACCATTGCGCTAAACAGTGTACAACATTGAGACTGTATCCTGCTGTCTTCTGGCTTGGCTAAGAACACCAATTTATCACCCCAAGGTTCATCTGATTTTCTGAAGTTGCACAAGCCCATAGCTTTCAGTAGGCACAGTGCTCCTACCAAAGGGGTATTTGAATATGAACCATGGTCCTAGATACCCCATAGACTTAGCCATAATGTACAGTGGCACCCAGGTGCTACAGTCCACCCATTGATCTCATGTCTACCGTTGATCTATTGGTACACCTCACAGACTCCTATGGCTATGGTTCGGGAACTGAATTAGGAGACCTGTTTATCAGAGATCTACTGGATTATATTCTACACTGAAAGTAGGTTTGCGATAGCACCATGGACGTATCTCTGTTGTGAGTATTTGCGGTTCTGAAAAGAACCAGTGGTACTTGACGTTTCGAGCACCACTGGTTCTTTTCAGAACCGCAAATACTCACAAAAGAGATACGTCCATGGTGCTACTGCAAACCTTTCTATTATACCTCTTCACCATGCAAACCTTCAAGACTTATATTCTACATTGAATGTATAGTTTACAGACAAAAAATGCCACTTTGTTCCATCTCAGACGGTTAAGAATACATGAAGAGAGTAATTTCAACTACATCAAGAAATCTCACCTGAACGGTAGGGAGAGTCTCAGGTACCTCGCAGTTTGAACAAGATGAAAAAAATTGATGATGAAGAAAGATGAAGAAAGATTGATGATGAAGAAAGATGGAGAAAGATTGTTACAACTCATACTGGTGTTCCATTGATGTATACTGGGCATATCAGAGGCTGGATTCCATTTTGTTTGTCCAGCAAGCAAGGCAATCATTTCCTTAAACCAGAGCCCTTTCTTGAGAAGATCTTGTTGCGTAGTTGGCGACAATAGTTGTTGGCTTTGGATGTCATAGTAATTTCATACACTGGACATTACAGTGTTGCTTCTTCAGTTGCACTGCAAGCCTGAATATCAGCAAGATATGGGACAGAGGGATATGCCCCTTACATGTCCAGTTGTTATACACACTCTAGACTATTGTTACCTAACACATTCCCCGTAGATGTCTGAAAAGAATTCCTGAGATTCCAATCAAACAATGACCAACACAAAGGTGTTGGAGGGTGCTCTTCGTCCCAGATCTTGCTTTATATGAGCTTGATTGGTCATTTTAAGGGGGCCCAATTCTGCCAGATGCCTATGTTGATATTGAACATTAATTTTGACATTCGAGATAGCTGGGTTATTTCTGGTCATATCTTTCTGTGGTTTACAGTAAAAAAAAAAGGTATTTCACAATAAATTTATGTTTCGCACTATCTGCTTTATTACAAACTCACTTGGTGCTCACCTAGGGATAGGTGTTTCGTTGTTGTGAGACTGGTATCTTTTTATGAGATCCCCCGTTATAAAAGCCTCAATGGTTTCTACGTAATTTTAGCCGATTCCTGTTAGGTTCTATTGGAGTCTTTTCTTTAACGATGCAAGTTGTACTGTACAAAACTGTACATACCTTCAGACTAACAGCACACGATTAAAAGAGAAAGATGATTGGTTTAACATGGAATTCAACTTGATGCATTTGTTTATTCTTGTCGGGTTGTTTTGTTTTTTGCTCCATTTTACTTCTCAACTTGGAGCAATGCAAGATTTCAGCAGTGCCTCTGAGCTGATAAAGTTTCGAGAAGCAAGGATCCGAAACATTTACATGTACCACGTTTTGGATGCAGGCTTTATGCCTTCATTAGAATAATGCTCCCTGTCTGTGACTCTTGGCGTTGAGGATTATTGTATTTTCTACAATTCCTTGGTTCACAACCAATTCTAAGCACCCTCGGTTAAAGGAATAAAACCTGTGACTAAATGCCAGTTAAGGAACTTCTGCCTAGAAGAGTGCATCACTGGAATTCTTTTGAATTTTCACAGGACCCTCACCCAGATTGAAGGATAACTTCACAGCTTTTTATAAACCCTTTGGAACCTGCTTCAACAGCTACAAACCGATTACAGTGCCCAGTATTTATATTCGTCAGATCAGCATTTTTTACGCCCATTATGATTATGCCTCGGTCTTCCAACTTTTGATTCCATTCACTTCCGTGCTTTATGTTGAAAAGCCACGAGGACATTTTTATCGCTTTACGCTCTTATTTTACGATCACTGTCGGCAGTTTGGATATTCTGCATTCGCATCTTGGCATGAACAGAAAAAACATTTTTAGCTTGGTATGGCTGAGCTCTGAAGACGAATGACACTGCGTTCGATTTGAATACTTCCACATGTATTTCAACAGATAAAATCAGAAAAACATATTTTCCTTTGTAACTATCGTGGCACGTACAGACAGAACCCCCAAATTATAAAACAACCAGAAACTCTGAAACATCCGCAGCTGGAAGTTGTAAGATAAAAGTTTCCCTGCATTTTAAGAATTGGTGTTGAATTTCCTGATTTAATAGTTGAGATGTTTGCTGTGTTCGTTTCTTCTCTGGTTACAAAATGCTGGCGAAGACGCTAAACATGACTGTTTTTTTACTCTGCCTTATAACAGTAGAAATGAAGGGCGGGTTGTGGCAATGGTGGATTTAACTAAAATAATTGGAAAGCCTGTTTAAACCATGCATTACACTACGCCATCAAAGGCTCCTGTACAGGACTAACATATGCATCCTTTTGCAGAGCATTGGTTTACGTGTTTCTCTGCCAAGGGCAAATGGCTATGATAGTGCACTTGTTATTTAGGTTCAACGGGATTTCCCCCCGATGAGCAATACCATGCAGGCAGAGCTCAATTTGCATGTGACATTGACATGAACGGATTGCAACGATTACCGTCCACGGTCCGACTGTAGTCCCACCTTGCTCTATGTTATGTTCAACAACACGCTGAACCTTATGTACACGCACACTCAGTAGAATGATTGCGACAGTTGTGCATGCGCGCGTGTACATGTCTAGGGAGGTGGTTCCGAAATCGGCGCAGTGCAGACTTTGCTACACCCTCCGCTGTAGTTGTCTGACAGTATTTTGACATTATTTTAGTCTGGTGAATTCCTGCCGGCCATTGCAGAAATCATACGTGTAGGTCAGCGTTGTTTCTTGGAAAGTCAGTCCTCACGCCAAAAAGGTAGGGCCTGATGATTCGGCATCTACACTGCATAAGGCCTGCAAATTTGGCTAAAAATCAAATGAAACTGGTTTCGAGGTGTTCAGTCGAAGCTTTGAAATAGGGCTAGTCTGCCTAGACGTGGAGCCAATCAAGCTAATGAACTGTCGATAGTTGCAAATGTAGACCGCAGTGTATTGTTTGTAACAAGATCTATAAGTCATCGACCAACGTTTCCTTCAAGTGTTCGGGCGCTATACGCCGTCTTTGGTCTAAACCGAGGCTTTGGTCGATCGGGGCAAAGTTACTTTTTCCTGCGACTGTTCTGTAGTGTAGCGTGTCCTGTCTATGGGCTCTTACGCTGACAAGAATTACTCGGTCAGGCTCAAATTTCCGTTCAGGGCAAAACTGCTATACCCAGCAGGAAATGAGACCGAGGGGTACCCCCCCCCAACATGTCCAATCCCTATACACATTCCAGACTATTGTGGCGGGCATCCCCGGGCCTACCCTGAGTTGATGGGATCAAACCAAGCACTATTAGTGGATTAAGGATTTGTCCGGATCCCCGTATTTTTTTTTACTGAAGAGAACTCTGAGCACACTGGTGCATAGACATTCATGAACCCCCGCCGTGTAGAATCAGACGAGCCACTTCAAATCTCAGTTCAAAATGGCAGCCGACCAATACTTAAGGGTGCACTNAAAACTGCCCTGTTTATTTTCACGAAAGCCAAAGGGCTGTCTGACCCACAAAGCTCCAGACACGAGGTGTCTAGACGGGGACTGCGCGCGCGCAGGCGCGAGGCGGGAAAGCCGCAGGCCGTTCGCATACCAGCGGGGGCAGCCCGCTAGCTCCATGCGGGTCCGAGTTGGCGCCCCCACCGGCCGAACCCGCCGGCGCTACAATAGACCTCTTTACTCACAAATTCATAATACACGCACACTGGACGGCAAGAAGTGTGAGCGGGCAATTGAAAATGTACAGGGGTGCGACGTCGATGATCATTTTCTCTCAGGGTTTCTGACTTGTTCAGGTTTTTTCTTGAGAAAATCCCATGAAATCGTGTTTGCTATTATAGTTTATAATTTAAGTGGAATTTTTGGTGCTTAATTTTTAAAAGATATTTCAAAATCGTAATTTTTCCTGTGCACGAGATCATCCACTGTTTCTTAGTATGGCCCCCTTCAATCATCATAGTTTAAACTACATCGTTAGTGTTCTTAAAGCCAACCTAGTGCATTTGTAAAATGTACCTGTAGCGTATTAGACTTGAATCAAGTCGGACATACGTTGCTCTTCCCCAATCAGCAATTTTTCAGCCTGTGCTACACGACACACGTCGGTCGTCGCGCTCGCATAACCCTTATAAGGCGCCCCCAATTGATAGCCTTATTGTACAGCATGTTTCATAGGTCTACGTCACCAGTCAGTAAGTCCGACTTGTCAGATAAGCCAATCGGACTTCCTGTCGTTGTTACATGTATGTAGTTATTCACAAGTGCATGCACGGCATGATCTAATCATGCATGATGATGTATACAAAATTTCCACCAATCAAAGTAGTCAGACTTTAGACTAGCTTGTTCATTATAATGCAGGTATGAACGACGTAAAAACAACTTGAAGTCCGGCACTGTGATTGGCTGCTACCACTTTTGATAGATGAGTCCATTCGCTGTGTACTAAAGGTTGGAAGATTCATCAAGTTGGGATTTCTGAACCGAACTCATAGTAATAAGTGGACACAAGAGGGCGCGAAGCAAGTAACGGCGCGCGGTGCAGTCTCGTCTCGGTATGTATCCAAAGCATAATCGAATTGACAGAAATCCATACTAGTACTGTACCCGCCATTCAATTCGCTGCTTTCTGCTCTTGTGAAATCTTAAGAACGAGATATCTTTTTCTTTGGAATCTGCACTTTGTCTTGAACAACCCCAAACACGACAACTGGATACCATTTCTTTCGATAGTACTCTAAGCTATGACAGTGGCGCCCTCTGTCACGTCACAATAAATATCAGAAAGACAAATAAATAAATCTTGTTGTCTTTTTCTGTCTTCACAAACATCTCAGAATGAAATTTTTCTCATTATAACGTTTGTGTTTACATGCATGTTTTCTCAGTTATTTGCAACAATTGAAAAGCAACGTCTGCTATTTTCACGAGCTGTCTTCGTGTCTTGCTGTCGCTGTGATAAAAACACGTGCGCAAAGCGCTGGTTCCCGCCTAGCCACACCCATGCAAGGGAATTCGTAATGGAATGTGGCAACCAGTCTATTCAGGCCGCTGCGAGCTCACGCCGCATAGAAAAAAAATGATGTTGCAAGATTTCTTAATTAAAGTTAATTCACAGAATCTTGTATCTTGTCCGTGTATTTCCTCTTGTCTTGTCTGTAGTTTATTTCAAAGTCTTTAACAGCTGCGTTAAATTGATATCTCGCCGCAGTGAATAATTCATTAGTTTCATAAGTGCTATTCAGCGTGCAGTTTTCAAATGTGTCTTTAGAGTGAAATGCAGTGAGATTCGGTATTTAGATTAGTCACACTTTTTAAGTAAACTTTTTCAACTCTTGGCATATGCCATCCGTTATTGTTTTAACTAGATGGTTTGCACTCCCCCTGCCCCCAACAAAAAAATCTGGCCACGCCCATGCACATTAAAATTTGCTGTGATTTAGGAGATTTCAACAGGCAAAAGGAAACATGACGTGAAAGGGAAACTAACACACATTTTTTCATCAACAGGATTGAAACCTCCAGGTGCTTTGACCTCACATCCGTGCGTTCACTTGTCACAAACCACCCATACAGCGCAGGCTGCTGGCAAGGGCAAGTACAAGTACTTAACTAATTGGATGGAGTCTATATTAACATCTGAACACGGGGTGACACTTCTGGCTTTAGTAATATAAATCTTTAAAATGTGCATCCCTAACCTTATACAGCCCAATACTATACGCACATAATGTCCCATGTATTTCCCATTATAAATTAGTTTTGCCATTTACTGTAATTTTTGTCTCGGTATACTTTTTTTTAATGTGTCGACCCTGTATAAAGTGTAGTGATGAAGCTCCCGTCATTGCCAACTACAGTGATAATTGTTACACTGCTCTTTATCCACAGAGGGCCTGCTGGGTTCCTATGTTGTCCTATGTTGAGCTGTGAACGTTCTCTTAAAAACAGTATTGTAAGGGCCCACTTAAGTTTTTTACCGATTTGTCTTATTTCCTGTAGAATTGAGTTCAGTGTAAGATGGCTGCTGGCGGGGGATCGGTAACCAGGGTTTTAGATGAGATCAGCCGAGATCACTTGGAATGTAGCATTTGTCATGAGAGATACCAGACACCAAAGATTCTAAGTTGTCTGCACAGTTTCTGTGAGATGTGTCTTCTGACATATCAAAAAGCACTGGAAAATCCGTCTCAGATTCCATGCCCTAAATGCCGACAGGACACGAAGCTTCAATCTACCGAGGTCTCTAGCCTCAAAACCAACTTTCATCTTAAGGAGATAGTTGAAGATTTTGCCCTTAAGGAGAAACTGGCGCAGAAGGAAGTTACGAAGCTCCTTTGTGAGCTGTGCGAGGAGCAGCGAGAGGCGCATTCCAGATGCTCGGACTGTCCTTTATTACTTTGCAAACAATGTAAGGCAAGCCATCAACGCATCCCTAGTACAGCAAGTCATGATGTTGTGGCGCTTGACGTGTTACGGACAGATACAGATGTCTTGAAGCGGAAGGGAAAGGTCGAACCCCCATGTGAAAAACACCAGGGAGAGAAAAAAAGATTCTTCTGTGAAACTTGTAAAGAGCTGATCTGCCGAGATTGCACAGTCGTGGAGCACCGCAAGCACGAGTTTACTACAATTGACGATGCTGCACCTAGACACAGAAAAACAGTTCAGTCTCTAGCGAATCAACTGGCCAAGCAGATGCCACTGTTCAAAAAATCAGAAGCTGACCTTCAGAAGATGGGTTCGGATTTACAAAGATTCACAACACTCGCTCAGCAACAAGTTAAGGAACAGGCGTCAGAGCAGAACAAGAAAATAGAGGAAAATCTCAGCTGGGTTCTTCAAGAGATAAAACATCGTACAAGTCTCCATAGTACTATACTTCAAGAAAATGGAGTTACGCTCGAGAAATCCAGCTTCATACCCCTGGCACTGCCAACAGGCTATCAAAGTCAAGCAGGAAAAGAGATGTTTCTGACTGTCGACCGGACCCTCCGTGACTTGAATGATATTGTGAAGAAGTTGATAGAAACCAGTCAAAAGGCTAGTAATCTAATTCAACAATTAAATGAAGAAAGCAAAAGAAACGCAGCAGACGGTAATGTCAAAGTGGCAGCAAATATGGAACGGGTGTTGTCACAGATTCAAAACATATTCGACCAGAAACACAAAAACATCATGCAGTCTGAAAAGCTGATGACCACCAACACAGAACGCATAGGCTACACCTTAAAGATTGCCAACGACCTTGTAAAATCGGGAACAAATGCTGACTTTCTCAATCTTCTATCGATCGTTGACACCGATATCAAGCTACTTCTCATGCAAACTCCAGTGAAGATGCCGAATGGTGTGGAAAAAATTGCTTTTCAAGAAAGTAGCGACGCGCGACTTGGTACAGTGGTATTCGGTGCATCCTTTACACCAACTACTGTGATTGAACCTCGGTCTACGAGACGTACTGCAAGCTTCGGCGCCAGGCGTGAACCAGAAGAGGTTGAAGTTACCATAAAGAACATCACTGCATTTGGGGACGAGATATTGATTGGATATAAGGAAGGTATGATTGTCTACAATACATCGGGAAAGCGCCTGATGGAGCCGAAATTACATGAAGGTAACCGCACATATGCGTTTGAAACAAAAAGGCAGAGGAAACTTATTATTGAAGATTATATGAGAAGCCTGCACACACATTATGGTGAAGAGTTAATTCATACACAACAATGAGAAAGGGGTTAGTTCAGCTATTGTCATCACAAACCAAATGTGTTTGGAAATAAGTTTATCTTTCAAACCTCATGCTCCGTATACTTCCATTTAATGTTTTAATTTCATGGAAACCTGTCATAAATTCTTCAGTCCTGATAGAAACGAATTACTGCTTTCTCAAGTCAAAACACAACTGTATTCTACAAACGCCCGAGAATTTCTATCGGATACCACAAATAAGCCTTAGTTATTCATTCAATAGTCTATATTTATGATGTTCACATACGTTCACTCTCCACTTAGTTCAGATTTAGCGCATGCGCACTAGATCAATTTGCTGCGGACTGTCGAAGCAGACGACGTCGAACGCAGTCCGACATTCCTGTCCACAAATGAAGACAATAATTTTTCAGAATTCAGAAAATAATGTTCATGGAGATAATGAGATACCACAAAATTGATTTGACAACATTGGACCACCGCATAAGTTATCAAGATTGTACAAAATTGGAGATAAATTCCAAAATATGATATTTTTGGGGAAAATCAACCAAGACCAGATTGGAAAAAATGCGTCAATCGTTCAGGTATTTCAATTGCGTTATTAAATCATTTCTCCACTGAAAAAAAACCCAATAATTTATCGTATGCATAAACTAAAAGCACCAGTAGTGTTTTCAAGTTTTTGCGAATAAACTGTTTTAAAATGTCCACGGTTTGGTGCTAGGTGAAAGAAGACAAAAATACTTGCTTGCAACTACCATCCCTTCTTGATGACTTTATACGGAGGATTTCCGTTTTCTATCGCTAGTATTTGATCGAGTAAAAGTTGAGAGAAAGGAGTCAGATTTTTAAAAACAGATTGCTTAGACTGCAATCATTTCTTTACCATTACAGAAATATTTCCTTCATCCACGTTATTTAAATGAATTCAGGCCGAATGCATGTAACAATAGAGTGATCAATTACTTTTCACTGGTGTATTTCATCGTGCTATGTCTTATAGTTGTTTGACAGCTGCTGCCAGGCTGGTTACAGAGAACGGCTGTTATGAACTATGTCATCAAATTATAATCCTGTTAAATGGCCAATGATTTGTATCGTTAAATCATTGGTGTTGACAATTCTATGAGTTATTATTTGCACCACTGAGAATAGGATTTCCCTATTCTAAGTCAGTTTCTTGCTTTTCTAATTATTCAAATGAAAAGATTGCTGTCGCAAAAACTGGCACATGTAACTGAAAACGGGCAAATGCAGTCCTTTGTTTTTAGAGATTAAACACGACTAACTCATTTCATGATTGAAAGATCCCATGCACTGAGTCTTCTCTGTTATTTTGTCGTCTTCAAAGCGGGCTGATGAAACTTTTGTTCTTAAAAAAATCTAATTTTCCATTCCTAAGTTTTCGCAGATTTCTCAGAAGACACACCGCAAAGCATCGACAAAGGCAAACGAAGTAGAGCGTTTGAAACGCCAGTCGCGTGTGAGGAGTACTGTAAGTGAAACGTATTATGCGTATTTGTTCAATAATAAATTACTCATTTTTACATTGTAGTTTTTCACAATTAAACACTCTGTCAGAAAAAGTTACATCTTTGATACTTTGATGATATTGAGTCAAGTTTCATACCACAAAACGCAGCTCTATTCTACAAAAGCCCGAGAATTTTAATCAGAGACCACAAAGAAGCCTTAGTTATTGGATCAATAGTTTTTAAAGATGTTCTCGTACGTTCACTCTCATGCCTTGTGTACCATTTAGTTCAGATTTAGCGCATGCGCACTTGATCAATTTGGGGCGGGCTGTCGAAGCAGACGACGCCGAAGGTAGGCCGACATTCTTGTTCACGGAAAAGACAGTAACTTTTTTTCAGAAAATAAAGTTCATGGAGATAATCCGATACCACAAAATTGATTTGACAACAGTGGACCACCGCATAAGTTATCAAGATTGTACAAAATTGGAGATAAATTCCAAAATATGATATTTTTGGGGAAAATCAACCAAGACCAGATTGGAAAAAATGCGTCAATCGTTCAGGTATTTCAATTGCGTTATTAAATCATTTCTCCACTGAAAAAATTGCAATAATTTACCGTATGTATAAACCAAAAGCACCAGTAGTGTTCTCAAGTTTTTGCGAATAAACTTTTTTAAAATGTCCACGGTTTAGAGCAAGGTGAAAGAAGACAAAAATAATTGCTTGCAACTACCATCCCTTCTTGATGACTTTATACGGAGCATTTCCATTTTCCATCGCTAGTATTTGATCGAGTAAAAGTTGAGAGAAAGGATTTAGATTTTTAAAAACAGATTGCTTAGACTGCAATCATTTCTTTAACACTGCAGGAATATTTCCTTCATCCACGTTATTCAACTGAATTCAGACCGAATGCATGTAAAGATGTAGTGATGAATTAATTTCCACTAATTTAGTAACAAAGCTTTGTCTCATGTTTCTTTGATTGCTCACGCCGGCGTGTTTACAGATGACGACTATCTTCTAAGTGGTGAGTAAATCTCATTTCTTTTTCATCAGACTATCTTAGCAAAGTTATAATCCTTTTTAATTAGCAATGGTCTGTATCATCGAATCATTGATCTTGAAAGTTCTCAGTTATGCTTTATACCACTGAGAATTAGATTCTCTTAATCTAAAGTCAATTTCTTACTTTTTGAAATAACTTATATCAAACTATTATTAGTGCAAAAACGTGTTATTAATAAAACGTATTGTTATGACGTAGTGTTGGTCAAATGACCAAAGTAAACCAGCAGTTGTACATGTAAAAAGGTGATAATGTTTTAAGAAGTCCATGGGTTGGTGCTGGGTATTTCCTTCATCCACGCTGTTTAATTCATTTTAGGCCCATTGGGGCTTCAAATAGTTTATTGCCGCTAGGCGGGGTTGCTGGAGTAAATTCCCCCGCTGACCACACAGGCGCTGGATTTACGACCCAGCTATTTAATTACAGCTTCAGAGGCAGAACCATTGTGAGTGCTGGTCACTTTTGTCTGAGCAGTTTGCCAGGTCGGTTCGTTCGGTTTATTGTGGGATAAATAATCAGTGTTGTTGTAAATTTGCAAAGTATCCTTCGTAAGTTAGTCGTCTTCTACATTCTGAAATTTATTTGCAGCTTTGGGAGAGGATATCACGTGTAGTCCATCCCCTTCCAGTGATTGGGAAAAGATGTCACTGGCAGCAAAAACAACGTGGCGCACTGCCGGCGATGAGGGGTCGAGACCAAGGGGGTGGCCTCGTTCGGACCGCATCGCGCCGGCTGATGTTCCGTGTGAATCCTCGGCGCCCATCGCACAGACGACTGCTGTTTCATCGGGTGAGTCTTTTTCTATCCCGTCAGAGCTAACGCCTAGACCAGTAGTTTCTATCGCATCTGCCCCTGATGGCCCGGCCATTTCGGTTGCGTCTCCCCCTATTGTTCACTCGGTTATGTCCGTTACCACTTCGTCGGGTGTAGGGGGTGGCGATGTCACGCCCCTAACAAGTGTTTGCGATGATCTTGGGTCTGGGGTTTCTAAACACCTTCGGGACAAAATTTGGAATGGGGAATTTGTAGATTTTGCGCTTCTCTTGCGGCCCACTAGCAGTGTCAATAGTACCAGTGACTGCGTGTTTACTATTGGGTCGCGCGATTCCCCAGCATGGCAAATTCGTTCCCACAATCCACCCCCTCGGATCACCTCAATTGAACAGTGGACCTCGGCTTTTTTAATTTTTGCATCAATCTATTTGATGCGGCACCCTACTCAGGCAAGGCAGCTGCTAAAATATGCCGACACCGTCCGTTCGGCTGCTTTTCGGCGAGTAGGCTGTGGGTGGCGCGACTATGATATTCAATTCAGGTTGCGCCAAGCTCGCATGCCGTCTCGGTCGTGGGCCAGCACTGACGCTGAACTATGGCTAACGTTGGTCGGTGCGCCCGTCCAACAAGCCATTTTTCGTCCCTATTCGAACCAGGGCAACCACCAACGGGCAATCGGTCACACCAATATTGGGGCAAGCCGCACCGCCCAGCGTGAGCACGCTACCGGAATCTGTTTCGATTTCAACCGCGGCCACTGCTTCAGACCCGCCTGTCGTTTTGCCCACAAATGCGCAACCTGTTTGTCCATCGGCCATTCCGCCTCCTCTTGCCGTGGCGGCCCTCGCTCGGTGCGGGGAACACTCACTCCAACCACACCTCCCAACGCCGGTAAGAATAAATAAACTGCGCCCCTTTTTGGCATCATATGGTGACAGGCATGCCGCTCAGGTGCTGTTGGAGGGTTTTACGTCTGGTTTCTGTATAGGGTATACGGGTCCTCGGGTTAGCACTTCTGCCCGTAATTTGATCTCTGCTCGACAAAATAGAGAGGTAGTGAAATGCAAACTTGACCGTGAGTTACGTTTGGGTAGGATTGCTGGCCCGTTCCCCAGTCCCCCATTTCCCAATTTTCGTTGTTCTCCGATAGGTTTAGTGCCGAAACAAACTCCTGGTGAGTTCCGTTTCATTCATAACCTTTCGTCTCCTTTGGGTGATTCAGTTAATGATCATATTGACCCAGCCAAGGCTGCGGTGTCTTATACGACTTTTGATGATGCTGTTGAATTGGTTTCTAGTTTGGGCCCCAGAGCCCTTCTGGCCAAGTCAGATATGAAATCAGCTTTTCGTTTACTCCCTGTTCATCCCGATGATTATGATTTACTCGGTTTTTCGTTCGACGGTTCATTTTATTACGACAAGTGCATGCCCATGGGTTGCTCCATTTCTTGTGCCACGTTCGAACGATTTAGCACCTTTCTCGAATATTGCACTCGCAAGCTGGCAGCTACTCCACATATTCTCCACTATTTGGATGATTTTT